TCTTCCGGTTGCATTTTATTAAGAAACTCAGTTAATTATATCAGAATAGATTTAAATATTTTGTTAGTAAATATGTTCAATTTAACATGAAGCCAACAGTTTTTAAAATGTATGTGCCAATATAATAAAAAATGCATAATTATTTAAATGGAAGTGATTGTTATCATAAAAATATACTTATCACCCGTTTCTTTGTTCTTCCATACTGAGTACTATAATTTGGATCATATAATCACTGGGTATATGAAACTTGCATTTGGCCTTACCAAACATTAGCTGAAATGAAACTATGCCTGAAATAACTGGCTCAGTCACAAATAGGAATATGGACTGGCAAAGTGATTTTTCAGATTAAATAAAATTCCAAACCCTACTTCCCTTTTCTTCCTCTCCAAGAATTTCTATAATATCTAAAATACATCCCTTCATGCCCTAATATATTTATTATTTTAATCATTTAATTTTTTCTTCAGGAGGAAGGATGTCTGTGTTTCATTTCATTGTGTTCTCTAATTTCAATGTGTTGGGTCCTGTCAATGAAGTAGATTTAGGGTTCTTGCCTTTGTGATTCACTTGAGTAAGTGAGTAATAATATCTTAATTTTATATTAAGGTATTGATAAACTTATTAGCCTCAACAGCTGGAGGAAAATTTACTTCTCTTGATTTCAGTACTGGACTGAGAGATTAAATAAGAATATATATTCTAAAAACGCTCTGCTTACATTTGCCATTAGGCATAAGAACTATTAATGTCTCCTCCTTGTTGTTATTGCTGTTGAAAGCCATATTTCAGGAGACCACCCTAATATATGGATATGGATAGCTAAGTCAATTAATACAGGTTTTCACTATATGGTTACATGAAATGTTTGTGACAAGGACACTTTTTTAATGAGTTTACTGAAACTTTGTGTGCCTGCTACTCCTTATTTATATTAGAATCTAGTAAAGGCAATATCTATTAGCACAGAATTTAAGTGTTTGCCTTTTATTGCCTGATATATCTTCTTGCTCTGCAGAGAAAATAACTCTTCTGGTTTTTCCTCCATTTAGGTAATCACTAAGTGTAGGAAATTGGTTTTGTCCACAAGACAGCAAGGTATTTGAATATATTAGTAACACAGAGAATGTAATTCAAGGTTAGATTTTGTTGCACCATTTGAGGCTCTGTAGTTGCTTGTTTTAGTGATAATGAGATGGGCTGCATCCTAGACAGTAAAAGGAGTCAAGTTTTCCCTCAAAGAAACCTGTTTGCCTCCTAATATATTTTCTATGCTCTCAAATGCACGTCAATCCAGAGAGCAAAAGAAAACAAAGCAAAGAAAACAAAATAAAAACTAATTTGCCAATTTTTTACATTTCCCCTTTTTGTTTTGGGACTTGGGGAATTTTCAAGCAATATATGATTGTGCACCTGCTGTAGTTTCTCTTTCATCACAATTCTGACTACTTAAATCTCACCTGCATTTTCAGTCTTGCCCATTCCAAGGACAAATCTTAACTTCAGTAGGAAAAATTTCAAGAACTCAGAACAATTAGTAAGCATAAAATAATAATATGACTTACTGAGCAAGAATTATGCTAGTGGCTTTATATATTCTCAAGCCTCACATGGACCCTACACATACAATATCATTTCCCCCAAATGCACACATAAAGAAAATTTTCCTTAATTATCCACTATGTGCATTTGAAAACATTGAAGAAACATCAAGGCACAAAATAGGGATATATTTCATACAACAATGTATGAGGATGGATGTCTATGGCATAGTCTTTAAGGGATAAGTTGTACCTTCAAATTTTACTTTGTAGATTTAATGTAATTTTTTAACAAATAAGATATTATAATTTAGTAGAAAACAAAAAAAGTTATAAAGGTTTCTTCTATGTCACTTCTATTATATCCCAATTTCCCTAACTTCTTATTGTTCACTACTATAGAATGATGAAACGCTAAGCCACCTATCTTGCTCTGTTTCTACAACAAACATGTTTTATTCTATAGAGTAGAATAAGGTTACTTATACAAGAGACTCCTATACTTCTTTGATGATTTTGAGCCAGTGTTTATTCCTGATCTTCACTTTTTGAACCTGATCTTAATTCATTAGTAACTTAAATGTCAGTGTTTACAAAGCACTATGAACTTCGGCCAGAGTGGTTTCCTACCCTTGATGCTGAGTGTACAGTACGGCTTGTATTTGGCTAGTTTTACATCACCATGTTGACCAAATTATTCTCATACAAAGAGCATTAGCATCTTATTATTTAGGGCTGTTTGGTACAGACTTTTTCCTATCATACCAAAAATGATTGGACTCTCAGAATTCTGTGGTCTCAACAGCATAAATTAAATAATAGAAAACAAAAGCAAACTCAAGAGAGGGTATCCCCTTGGTGATTAAAAAATTATTGAAGCAGATATTTGTTTTCATCTGTATTTCATACATCGGATATTTTATATATATATATATATATATATATATATATATATATGCACTGAAGATAAAATTACTACTTGAAAGCATTGTAGGTATAGTCACTTACTTTTTACCTTGACCTAGAGTAAGGCTGTCTACAGCAGGCTTTGCTTCAATAAGAAATGTTATTGAGGCCTTGCTGATTTCATACTCTAATGTGACACCAATATAGTCATGTGTGATCTTCCACTGTTTTGTGGAAATTTGCATTACAAATTTTAATTGATAATTATTCCTGGTCAATTATTGATGATGTCAGAAAAGATTTCTTGATTAACCAATAACAATGGTATGAAGAATGGACAACTCAAAGTGACCCATAATCTTATTGACATTGATTTGTCAGCCAAGAAACAGACTTTGATCATAAAATGGTAGATCCCTTAGCCTTTCTGATATTTTACAATTAAAAATAGTTATGCACTTTTTATTCATTTGGAAAAACAGCCTTTCATGATGAATGACATAATATAAAAAAAATTTGGAGAAAAATCACCATTCATTTTTTATGTAATTCTAACTTATTTGTTTGAAAGGCTAAGGCATAAATCAAATACATATTTTTTAGAGCATACTATTTTTTCATTATGCACTTAAAATTCATATATTTTATAGTCTCTATTTGTATGTAAATCATAGGGCTTATTAACAGTTTTTTTCTTTGCTGTTCTCACAAATGTGATTGACAGTAGCTTAGCACCCTTGAGTAACCTAGCAACAAGGTTTCTTACTCTATAGAAGGTAAGAAATGGATGCAAACAAAGTGCTATGGGAAAAAATAAAAGAGTTCAATTTCAAAATATTTGTGCATGTATACTATTAAAAATCATGATGAAATCTAATTTGGGTGAAATTGGTTGACAATAGGTATTGAATTTCCTAGTAAATAATATATTGCCAGTGAAATCTTGTCTCCTTCATTCAGGAAAAAAAAAAAAAGTCTATTTCAGACTGTACCACTGTTGACTAGGTTACTGAATATATGTCTTCCTTAGCAGCCTATTCATTATAGATTAGATGAGGAGAGTGTCTGGGCATGTTTTCACTATGTGGTAGATGAGTTTACTAGATGGAATTTCAACAGTAAACCTTCCTGACAGTGATGCATTTGCTAATCCCTTAAATAGTTTTAGAATAAATGTTTTGTCTTATTTTCAAGGGGTTGCGCTGCACATTTGGGGGGTCAATTTCTTGGAAATACCACAAAAGATTCCACCTTGTGTTTTACATGTTAAGAAGCTGATATATTTAATACCTATTTCTTTTGGTGAAATTTAACTTCTATAATTTCTGTTTATTATCAATGAGAAAATAACTCTTTTCTGTTTTAATTGTAAGGTCATAATGGAAGTGTATCAGGTATTGGGAGGAAGCTACAACTTCACAGGATCATTATATGATGAATAGACTCAGGTGGGAGGGGAAACACATACTGGTGAATACCTTCCGTTAAATAGCACAGCTTTTATTTTGTGCCAAAGGCAGAATTACCTGGCCTTTCTCAATTTGATAGGAATCTTCAAGAAATCTTAGAGCCTTATGAAAGATTGAAGTAAGGGACAGCAGGATGGGATATGAGCTGGACATATGATTGTGCATTTAAAATGAATGCATAGAATTGTAAAACTAGAAATCATCCACTCTCTGGTAGAGATCCCCCCCAGATAACCCAAGTTTTGGTTATTTTTAAAATCTAACCTTAAATGACTCAGATTTTGGCTGTAATCATGACTGGGTGTAAGCTCAACATCAATATCTTCCTCTCACTATCCTCCCAAATCTCTCTTCCCTAGGGAAGACCAGAGCTAAAATCATGATATCCTTAAGGAGAGGGACAAATATTCTCACCTAAATAGTCTGATTTTATCTCTATGTGAAAAGTTTGGTCACTTACATGATTTGGTTTGAAATGAATCAACTGTAAATAAATGAAAGGTTATCCTTTACATGAGAAAGAGTTCTCTGTCCTTGAAGATATCTAGCTACAATTGGATAGACCAGTTGCATAGAATTCATACCTCAAATGTCATTATAGAATAATTGTTCTACATGTGATGATGCTACTAGTAACAGCTATAGTCAGTGTCTAATTATTCAGGAAAATGACATTTCAGATGTGGCATATGCACATTAACTTCCCCTTCCAGCATAGATGTCTCAGTGGGGTCATACTCTTGAAAAAATATCTTTATTTTGGGAAGTTGAGTTCCTAGAGGGCAGGGATCATCTTATTTGTGATTTTATCCAGTATCTACTATAGTATTCTATACAGTGTAAGCTTGAGACAAATGATTAATCTTTTTCTTTACAATTAGAGTTTGTGTGTATGTTAGAAAGATCTGTAACAACCACTGAAATTATACTAAAATAACCTAAACTACATAATATGTGTTAAAAAGAGACAAAATTAAATAATATATGCCCTTAGAAGAGGAAATAAAGTTTAAAAATCAACTATAGACAGAACTTAATTACCATAAAATTACTGTTAAATTGTGAAGTTGATCTAAAAAGAGGTGTACTTGTTATTGCAGGTTTGGTTACAGAAGTACGGCTACCTTCCACCAACTGACCCCAGAATGTCGGTGCTGCGCTCTGCAGAGACCATGCAGTCTGCCTTAGCTGCGATGCAGCAGTTCTACGGCATTAACATGACAGGAAAAGTGGACCGAAACACAATTGAGTAAGTAATGGCATCTGCACTCTTTTTTTCTCAGCTCTTGAGCCAAACTAAGTGGGCTGAAAAACCCTTAGTGAACTCCATCAACCACAAATGGAATGATTTTTCTCATGAACGTTTCTTTGGAACTTAACCTATGTTAACTCCACTCCCCTGAGATTTTATAAAAAATTAAAACACCAAATTAAGTTTATTCACCTGGACTTTAGCAATACATTTTCAAAATAGGAAAGAAAATACCAACAATGGGAGTCAAAGTAGATGTACAGCTGAAGCCACTACTAGAAGAGTGGTGATAAGTGATGTGCTGGAGCTGGATTGTATGGCTGGAGGGAGTAGTGTGTGCACATCTCTTTCCCTAAATGATATCACAGCAGTAGCTTGAAATTGGCCAAAGTCAAAATATTGAAACCGAGGAAAATAAAAAACTGCAAATCAGTGCTCTGTTTTTGAGGGGGAGGGAATCAGAGAGACAGTTAATAGCTTACTAGCTTTCTGCTAGTGACAATTTTCATACTAGTTAAATCAAGGGAAGAGTTTTCACTGAAAAGTCTGTGCTTTCAATCTTTTAGTAACAAAGGGCTTATTTCTACTCTTTAATAATATTTGTTATTTTATTTATTGTTTTATCAATCATTTGTTCATTTATTTGTTCAACCAGTCGCACTTTACTGGGCATTTTATCTGTGAAAGAGGCATATACAGATCCAAAAGACAGTCTCTTCTTCAAAGGAACTTCAAGTTAACTGTATAGCTAGACACAGTCATAAATTGTTTTACCACAAGTACACTATGAAACAGCATTATTGTTTCTAGACAACAAAGGAGGAAATGATTAATTTTTTTAGTGCAGGGAAGAATTATTTGTGTTCATTGAGTCTTTGATACTCAAAAGTAAATCTACTTCAGCATTTATAATGATCAATACACATTAAACCTACACAATAGGGAAGATAAGAATACATTTTTCTCTCTACTTTTTCAAGTAGAAAACTGAAAGTCAAAGGCTAGTTGAAGTCAAGATTAGCTTCAGAGTCCAGATTTTTTGACATTTACTTGGGGAAGTTTCCACTATACCATGCTGTGTGCCTTTGAGAAATGACACATTTTTCTTAAATACCTGAAGTGCCCGGACTCAGGCGTATATAATTAATTGTTACATGTTAAACTAATTTAATATATAATTTTAAAATTCTATTTTGCCTTCTAATACTTAAAGTATGATGTTAGTCATACTATTTCTATTTCATCAAAACAGAAAAAAACATATAACAATGGCTTGAAGATTAAACAGTTTTCAAGCAGTTTGAAAAACTAAATTGGGATAGGGAGGGTGGGAGGTAGGGAGATGAAAGAGGGAAGAGATACAGGGACATATGTATATGTATAACTGATTCACTTTGTTGTAAAGCAGAAACTAACACACCATTGTAAAGTAATTATACTCCAATAAAGATGTTAACAAATAAATAAATAAATAAATAAACACATTACCTCTCCTAACATTTTTCATAGATACTTAAATATTGAATTTGATTTGAGTCTGTGAAAACAGAATGAAGAATTAATATAATGCATTCTGTGAGAATGAGAAAACTGTTATTAATATTGGGAATACAATTTTGATATTTTGGATCTACTGCCCTGTAATCATCGCAATTCTCTCTTAATAGTATACTATCAAAAGTTCATTTTAAGTCATAACATACCTCTTATTCAAAATAAATATAGTGTTAAATTAATAAGCAAAACCTCCAGCAAGCCCTGTGTTTCATTGCTGTGTACAATACAGAACTCCATTTATATTATACTCTTTATCCCAACAATTTAAAAAGTGCTCTGGACAAGCTTTCTTGTTCCCTAACGCAGAGCTGATACCTTCTAATTCACTTTTTTGGAAATTATGACACAGTTTTTAAAAATAAGATAAATGGTGACTTGGGAAACAAATTATTTTAAATATGCTTATTACTAGATACTAAAATTGAGAGAGTGGAGTCCTATAAAAGGTGTCATTTGTGTTTCCCCCCACTTTTGAAAGCCCCTGCTAATCATTGAAAAGACTCAGGATGGATAAGGTTGATTCCCTAAAATAGCTAGAAAAAGGTCTTTGTCAGGACATAATGGAAGAGGAATGTGTGCAGGATTTATTTGGACCCTTCATGTGGAAAGGGGTCTGAACAGCAGTATGAAGTAAAAGATGCAGAGGTGCAGAGAAAGACACGGGTCTTTTCCTGACATACAGTGGCTCAGATTACAGACCAAAAGAAAGGAATGTGTCAGTGTGTAGGTGTTAAAGTAACATTTCTGTGAGCTATAGCATTATAAAGGAAAGATCAACCAAATAAGCAGCCTTAAATTTAAAACCAACCAGTTTTTCTGCTTGCTTTTTGTTTTCCTTCTTTAAAAGAGTTTTGTTCTAACTCAGTTATTTTGAAATTAAAAATGCATCTTTCTCTTTAAAGAGAGTGTTACACTTGGTCATTATTTCTAGGTGAACCCATTAAAGCCTTGTTGAACCCTGGTCCTTTTCCTTCCTAGACAGTGATGCCTCCTCTGTCCTCTGTGTCATTCTCATTGTCACTCATACTAGAAACCCTGCTTCATGCTAGAAGCAGCTTCATTTGCTTCCTGTCTGTTTTTTCCACTGATGTATCCCCAGTCTTGGGGTATTGTTGCTCAGGGTACTCAGCTCAAATTATGTACCATTTTTGTAAGTGTAATCCCTATAATCATGCTACTTAAGCAATTTTCTGCACTTCTATAATATTAAATGAATGTGTGGTAACAATCCATGCTGAAATTGCATTCTATTATTTTACATAGTCAAATTATAATGTATGAATTTTTTCATCTAAGTCTTATTACATAAAATATGTAGTAAAATTAGAGACCTAGAATTATTCATCGGTATTAAAATAATGTCTTAGGATTCATTCATTCATTATGGCATTTAAATGCCATAAACATTTATCTAATTTTAGAGTCTTGTTGAAATCAATTGTTTTTAAATTAAGTAATTATATTCTTTTTTGGCAGACAGACATTTGGTGGATTCGATCTATAATTCTTGGGTAATGAAAAGTAATGATGCCAATTATAATAATCCCTATATTACATTGAAGAAATTAACCATTTTCAAGCAACAAATCTGGTTATTACCTTAAGTGGCATATTATATAGCTTTTGAATTAATTAACATTGGCATTGGAGAGATAGTAGTGGTAAATACTTATACCATCTCCACCCAAAATGAGCTAATTATCATATGTTGCAATGGTTCTTTTAAATTATTGGTTACTTAGCTAATTTTAGTAAGCAAGCTCACTTAAATTCCTTAATAAGTGAATTAATCTATGTTATGCATAAAAATGCAGTGTTTTGCAAGGATGGAAAAGGATAGCAAGGCAATAATAAGAATGAGTCTAATATGTTTTTATAATATTAATAGTAAGTATTTTAAAATTTTAGTTTATCTTTTTATGTGTGCACAATGTTATGCCCTGAAGCATACTTGATGGGATTTGTAAGGTGATCTTTCTTTCTGTTTTTATCTCTCTCTCTTTCTTTCTCTCTCTCCATATATATATATATGCGTATGTGTGTGTGTATACACATACAAACATGTATGCATTTATACATATATACTGGATGATCTTAGTAATTCTGTTTAATTTATTTAAATCATGCCCAGAAATTTGTCTTAATTAAAAATTATTTTAAGACTGAATAAGTAGCTTTATTTAAAGAATTATTATGAAACTGTAGTGATATTTGAACTCCTGATTTTGGAATTCAAGTATTTATTTAGATATATCAAGAACTACAAGCTTTTTGGTTTACTTATCCAGATGTTCCATGATTTTTTTTCTTTTGTCTAAATTATCAAGTTAAGACTCTTTATTTTCAATTTGGATATAAAAGATAGATCCATCAGTAATTAAAGATTTTTCTTTGTTATTTTTTAACATAACAATGGTACTCAAAGCTATAACATTATAGCATGGGTCAGTCCACATTTTGGTAGCTGCAGAAGGTTGGTTAACAGCTAAATGAGCAGGGTCCTTAGAGCCCCATTCCAAAAGGTAAAAGGAGAGAGGTGAAAGCTTGAGAAAGAGGTGACACTCTAACAGAGCTTTTGTTCACATTGCAGATCATGGAGGCTTAATACACTTATTCTCTGTGCTTGGGTTTTTAAGTACTTTAACTTTGCAGTTTCAGCTTTGGGAATAACGTGTGCGTCCATGCAGGCTGCTAATGAGTTGATAGAAAAAAGAAACTGGACCAGAGTGAGCTATCAGCCTATCTACATTTTGAGCCCTAAGTTAATTTTCTTTTGAAAAATCTTCTTCATTATTATTGAACTTGAATACAAGCAAAGCCTAAGGATTTTTAACATAATAAATATAAGCATATTTTAAAATTTCTAGAAAGATTTCTTGGGACAACTATAATCATAGGTATTACTCTTACCTTTCATTAGAACTTGGAAAAGTTTGGAGGATAGAAACCAGTTTAATATATTATGTTGATGAATATTTTTCTAAGATTACTAATGCCTAAGGCACAAAATATATATTTTTGAGTATTTTTCCCTTGGTAAAGGTAGATATATGTACACAGGGCCACTGTGTGGCACAGCCCCAACCCCAAAGCCAAAGAGTGGCATTCCCATCTTATTCTATTGAGGAGCTGCCTTCCTGCAGCCCCACTATAGGGGCATCAAGGGCATGGACTACAACTTGAAGGAACTTCTTGGAGTCATGCAATGGGTAGCCCTATATGTTTGACATGAATGCCCAACTAATTAATTTCTTTTTTAACTGAAGCTAATGGATACTGTTTCCTATATGGTGGCTTTTAACATTACTGTAAACTTGCTTAGAAGATTATGGTTACTTTATTTACATAAAACAGAAGATAATGTGTCTGTTGGCATAATTGTTATCAAAACACTAAGAATATCCCTGTCTTGAATAACAAAGTGCTTTATGTCAACATAC